GACTGAGGTGAAGTCGTAACAAGGTAGCCGTAGGGGAACCTGCGGCTGGATTGACTCCTTTCCAATATACATACCCAGATTTGATTTAATGTCGATCTAATCAGACTAGTTACCAAAGGCGCGAAGCACAATTCCGAGTATCCGGGTACTATTGTAGGACGTGAAAACACCCGATCCCATTCCGACCTCGATCCGTGAAATCGTCTTACGCCATATGTACTGATTTATTTTGGGAGACATGGTTCAAGCCCGGACCTATCAATTTCTTGTGCAAAGAAGAGCCATACTAATACTACGCGTACATGCTACGTCCTCGTAGGGTGCTTTGACCTTTTTGCAGTGCTTCGCGCCTTTGAAATCGTGCCTGGCTGCGTGTGTTTAGAGATTTTTGACCACAAAGGAGCGAAGCCGCTACCATTCCATTTTTTCCGAAACCGAAAGGAACTACTATGATTTTACATAATCGAGGCAGCCGCCAGGCTGTTGTATAATGAAGTTTTAATAACAAATCTTGACRTAACACATTTTCATAATGAAAACGGAGTCTATTTTGCATGTTTGAAAATCTGCCTTTTTTATTTAATTTAAATTACATAAGGTGCCATTGAGACTATTTTCAAATAGCGTTTTTTTCGTAGTTCATGTGTCACACAACCTAAAATTCTCGTACCACCAAAAACCACCGGGCGTAGACCAAGGACCAACACTCATCGTTTACGGCATGGACTACCAGGGTCATTTTGAATTTAAATCAAAAATGGACTATATCATTCTCTGAGTTTTTGTTTTGATTGCAATATCAAGTCAATCTGTTCCGAAAATTTAGGATTCAATAATTTCATCTCAGAGATCCAGCGTTGTTGAAATTTAGCATCTTTGTAAAGCAACATCGTTTTTCTTAGCATACTTTGATTTGTAGTAGATGGGAAAAAACCCGGCCCGGATCTTATCTTCACTGGCGATGTGTTTGATGGAGTGGAAAGAAAGGTACAAGGGGCGTCTTTGCTTTGGATGGATGTCTGAGTGGTTGAAGGTATCAGTCTTGAAAACTGACATATTACAAAATATCGGGGGTTCGAATCCCTCTTCATCCGTTCATGTATGTTAATTTACGGATAATGAATTCAGTATTGAAAATGATTATCGAGGAAGCTCGAATTCGTTTTTTGTGGATTTTTATTTGTTTTGTTTTCACTTTATTGACTTGTTATTGTTTCTCAGAAGAATTTGTTTTTTTATTAGCTAAACCTTTTCTTGTTCTACGCATAGAAAAACCATCATTTATTTGCGCACAAATGACTGAAGCTTTGAAAACATATATGCAAATTTCCCTAAGCTTCGCCCTTTTTTTTTGTTTTCCTTTTTTCAGTTATCAAATTTGGTGTTTTGTTATTCCTAGTTGGCCCAAATTTCCCATGTTGTACTAAATTACTTACAGAGGTATGCATACACTCTAGGAATACCTCAGGATAAACACCCATCCAAACAACTCCAATTACAAAAGGTAAAAACATGAAAAATTCTCTTCTGTTTAAATCGGAGAACTTATGAATGAAATACGGCTTGAAATTTCCAAACACAACACGATTATAGAGCCAAATGGAACACGGAGTATATCTTGCGTCTAAAGCTTTCATAATATAATATCCGATTTCGAAACTGGGAAATTCCGCTAACGCGCCTCGATCGACACCAGAGAAAGAGGTAGGCTAGCCAAGCTATATATACGTTGGATAGGAAGAGGATTCTCTAATAAGCCCCACTTAATTGGAGACTTAGGATTTATGTAATACTTGTGAATTGAAATATGAGTAGAATGTATTTAAACGTTCAAACGGATTATCATATCTTTGGCCAAATATCCTACAAAAGGACTTCCAAAAGCCAAAAGTATTAAAGGGATTGCCATCAGAGTAGGAGCATCATGACATCTTTCGATGTCTCGCTTAAAAGCATTGGTTGGAGCAAGAAAAGTGAGAAAAAGTAAACGAAAAGAATAATAAGAAGTCAAAAATACAGAAAGACTTCCAAGCCAAAAAGCCAAAAAAGCGACCGACATTGTAAGAGGCCGCTTTATCTTCAAAATAGTCCAAAAAGCTATGCACGTCATACTGGAGATGATCTACGAAGAGAAATTTATTGATTGCAGTCATGCTTTTCAGCCTGGTAGAGGCTCCGCCGCAGCTCTGACTCTTGCGAGCCTCCATGTAGGAATAAAAAAACACCAAACGTGGGCCATCGAAGGCGACATAACTAACTGTTTTGATTCTATAGATCACAACGTTATCATGCAAATTATCAAAAATCCCCAACCTGAAATCAACGGAACCAAAGCACTGATGAGTCGGTGTACAGCGGAACCTTTGTGAGATTGTACTACAAAACGAGTTTGCGAAAGAAGTGTTTCCTGTGAAGCTTTTTTTCATATGCCACACGGAGAGATTGAAGAGGCGACCATAGGCGCCGCCAGGCGGCGGCCCTTCGGCCTTAGTCCCCTACTATCAAATATATACCTTAATGAACTCGACCACTTTATAGAAACAACTATCCGTGAATATAACAAGGCTCGAAGAGCAGACGCTTCGCGTCTGAATCCCACGCATTGGAACCGAAGGATGCATTACATCCGCTTCGCAGATGATTTTCTAGTAGCAATCTCTGGTCCACGATCAGAAGCAGTGAAACTGAGATCTGAATTGGAATCGTTCCTTAGAGACAAACTCCAATTAACACTGAGTATGGACAAAACCCATATTACCCATTTTAGCTAATGCCTGTTTAGCTCGATCCGCAAGAAAAAGGAAGTGGTTCCGTCCCGTCCAAGTTTGGCCATCGAACTTCAGTGTTCAGTGGTTCGAATCCACTTCTAAACAGGCAACATCAATCTCTTAAGAAACTCAACTTGGTCAACTTGCCGAGTAAGTAGGMTAAGGACGGATTCGAACCATCATTCGTGGATTTGCAGTCCAATACATTACCTTTATGTTACTTAGCCTTTGATTTGATTGATGAAAAAAGAATAACGAAATTCTTGAGTCATTTCAATAGGCTCAGAAATCACACGTTTCTCTGAATCATCGTATCGTACTTCCACATATCCACTTAAGGGAAAGTCTTTTCGTAACGGATGACCCTCAAAACCATAATCTGTTAATATACGACGTAAATCAGGATGGTTGGAAAAATACACACCAAACATATCCCATACTTCTCGTCTGGACTGCCGCCTCCCTATCCTCCGTCCATTCCATAGTCCCTCCTTCCCTAATCATTGCGCGGATAGGTTCTGCTATCTTTGCGAACCCTTTGATAAAGATCCTCCAGAATCCGACTACCCCTAGGAAGGCTCGTACCTCCGTCGTGGTGCGCATAGGCGTCGACCATTGGGAGATCTTATCCGTCTTAGTCGGGTCTGGTTTTCTTCCATAGGCCCCACAGCGAAACCCCAATATAGTCACTTCTGGGACCGCCAGGATGCTCTTTGGTCCGCTTGCGATGATATTATATACCAGGAATCGTTGGAGCAGATCCTTGATATCCTATAGATGATCCCAGACAAACTTCCGTATGCCCGGCTGGACCTCTGTCTCGCACGCCTTTTATGGGATTGTCATCTATGTAGGGTTCACATTTTTCCGGGAACATGTCCCCTGCGACCGCAAACATCCTCCTTTGTGCCTTTGCCACAGCATTTGTGAAGCCCATAAGAGTCACTTGCATTTGCAGCTGTCCTACAGGGGTGTGCATGGCGGTGTACGGTCTATCCCTCGCGTCGAGCGGTAACTGGTTTTCTTGTAGGTCGGCCTGCGGGAGTGATCCTGCATCCCGGATCGTAACCGCATTCAGCTTCTGCAAGTCCTGGATCCATCTGGGCGATTTGTTGGGCTTCCGAAAAACAAACCACCTGTTCGCGTAGGGGGATGCGGTGGGTTTGGCCACGAACGAATCTATCTTGGCTCTGAGCAATTCAGTGACTTCCGCAGCTATTCCGAACTCGTAGGTGGGCCCCTTGTCATTCCAGCACTCGTGTTCCACCGTGTGGATCCTAACGAGGGAAATTAGTTTTGCATCCAATCGGCCTTTTTGGTGGTCATTGAAGGCGAAAGCTAGGTGAAATTCCTGGCACGCCCTCCTTATCAACCAAGTCTCTTCCGCCGTTAGGAACCCTTCTACCCCTATCTTCATTGTATCCGCTATCTCATCAGGTATCCGGTGCCCTTCCGCTACTCGCCTCTCCCTTATTATCCGCAGGATTTCTTCCTCCTTTTCCATGGCCTCTTCCCTTAATTTTTCGACTAGGATCGAAACCGGGTTGGCTTTCTTCCCTACGGGTTTGTATTTTCGCACACTTCCTCCTGGGATCGTTCTCCTAAAAAATGAACGGTCGGGATCGGCCTTGCTACCTCCAAGACGCGGGGCTGGATGCTGACTAACTTCTCGTTCAGACAGTAGCCCTTTCGGACCCCGTCTTCACATTTAGCAAGCGTTGCGGGGTCCACCCCCACCTTGTGGTACCTAATGGCCTTAACGATTTGTAACGAGTCTGGGATTTCAAGCACCACCTCGGGCGTTTCGTTCCGGCCTTCCTTTGGTTTGGGCAGACTGGCCCCAAGTTACTTCCGACTCTTTTTCCGCCACCATAACTTCCAGGCCTCGTCCTCTTGCCTCCTCTTCTTTAGAGGTAGACCCATCTTGATCCACTCCTTGCTAAAGGCTTCCTCAGTCATGATTTCTACCCTTTGGCTCATACCTTCCATTCGTGCGAATGCCCTCCTTCGCCCACTCTCCTCGAACGTCGGCGACCAAGTTGCCAACTTGCCCCTCGGAGGATCCCCTCCGGTCTCAAGGAGTCGGAGGAGTTCTCCGCGGCCGGGCACGGGGTCCTCTATATCCACCATGTATGTGCCATCATGCAGATGCATACCTATCATCTCTACATTGGCGCACCACAGTCTTCCGAGAATTATGTCATGGTCCATTCCTTCCATCACGGTTATCCGCTGGAAGGACCAAATTGATTCCCTGATCCCCGCCCTGACTGCGCATTTCGTAACGTACCCTGCAAAGGGAATCTCCCCGCCAGCTCCCCGGATACTCCCCGTCACTTCCTTGTTTACGATGCAGTCGGTAATTGTTGCAAAGTCCCGTCGTATGAGGTAATTTATGCACCGCCGTCCACTAATGCATCTGTGTGGTGGGTTCTGATTTGGATTTTCAGCTTTCCTACGGGCAATGCATGGAAGCTAAGCTTTGTCCCGGGTGACGCCCTCATGACTTCACCCCCTTCTCGGTCCGGTAGGCTTAGGCGGATGTCTGCAAAGGCCTTTTCCAGGTCCTTCAAATCCCCAGGAATCCTTTGGAGGTTGGAGACGCCTTGGGGTGCCTCTGCCTCTTCCGTCTCCTGCTCCTGCGGTTCCGGGGCCTCCTCCACCTCCACGCGCCTGCGCGTTAACAGTTGCCTAAGACTCTTAAGCAGTCTCGGACTTGCTTGTAACATGGTCTGAAAGGATACCGATACCATGGTACCTAACAGTTTGCTCAGTGTACCGTCTACTTTCGGCACGGTCAAAATCGGAATTTGGTATCTGAATTTTTTCTTTGTCGCCACTGCTTTGTCTACCGGCTCCTCCTCCCTGACTTTTTCGTAGACCTTTTCCGGCTTTTCGGTCTCGGTTTCCCCTTGATCTTCGCTAGTCCCTACGACTTCTTCTATTACTGTATCTCGAATAAGCTTCTTTTCCGCACCGGCCCGTCGGGTGGTGATGTTTACCCTATCCTGCCCATTGCCTTCTAGGATGAAATTGGCTTGTGGTCCACGTCCCCTCGGTTGGTCCCAGACAATATCGGCTACCGGTTGTGCTTCTACGGCGGCTATATCCAAGTTACTCAGGATGATGACGGCACGCCGCATCCCTCCTGGCAAATTCCAATTTACGCGCTCTCCCTGGGGTCCGAGAATCTCACCCTTAAGGGACCTGCTGCATCTTTGTCTCATGATATCATGGTTGAGTCTTGGGCAGGTCCGCACGAAATGTCCGACCATTGTGCAATACTTGCATTGTTCATTGGCCAGATCCCTTCCGCCATACCCCCGGTTCGCTACCGCTGCCGGAACTACGGCCTCTTGGGGAGGGCGGGCGGGTCGGGACACCCGCGCCTGCATTACTAATAGCACATTTTCCATTCTTTCCATCTTGCTGTCAACCCCGTGCACTCGTTCGTGCAGGCTCTCTATCCCCTTCTTGACCTTATCCCCCGTCTTCCCAGTCAAGTTTATAACCTCTCCTTCCTTAAGCAGGGTTAGCGTATCGGTCACCACTGTCTTTTCTGCGAGGACTGTTACCGTGCTGAAGTCCACATCCTTAGTGTACTCGAACTTGCTAGTCTGCTGGTAAGCTGAAAGAATTTGATCTTTGTCGAATTTGGAGAAATGCCTGAGGAAATACTTACTCATTATCCGGTCTGTTACCCTGGGGATTCGTAGTGCCACTAGAGTAAACGCCCTTAGGAAGTCATTGTAAGTGGCATAGTTCTTCCTTTGGACTGCCGCCAACTCGGCTTCTGTTGCCATCTTCTCCGCCTTTAGGTACTTCCTCATCATCTCGTTTCTGGTTTCCTTCCAAGATCCACTAGTGGCGACGATGGCAATAATGTCTCCACCCAGACTCAGTGACACATGCTGCCCCAAATGGTGCATTTTCTCTTCCTCACTCCATTTCAACAAGGCTGCCAGGTTCTCATAGTCTATCATGAACTCCGTGATGTTCGCCCCATCAAAAGTGAGTTTCTTCTTGGCATCGGCCAGATACCCCTGATTCTTATTTAGAGACCGGGTGAGGGTAACTACTATTTTCTTAAGACCTCCCTCAGAGCTACCTGCTTCACCAGCCGGACTGGTCCCTTCTTCTTCCTTGCTATCCCCCTGCTTTTCCCCAGCCTTTGGCGTACCCTCAGGATCAAACCATCCTAGCACCCTTTCTCTGAGACTCCAAAAAGACTTCCAAGCCAAAAAGCCAAATTACCACTTATGGTATATTTAGTATAAGCAAGTTCTAAGATCACATCCTTCGTCGCAACCCTTTGCTACTTTTGGTGTGACGGGCAGGCGGCTAGTCCCGTTGTCCATAGCAGGCAGGGTCGTAGCCTTTTCTGCCTCCACTGTCGGAGCGTCCCCCTTTTCCTTCCCTTTCTTGCTGGGCGTTCCCTTATGGTTGTTATCCTTCCCTCCGTGCTTGATTTCGCCCTGGATGACCCTACGTTCCTCTCGCGACCCTTCTCCCAGGGAGTCCCTTTCATTCCCAGCCATCATTTCCTCCATAACCCTCGCTTTATATTCTGCGGTTCGCTTTTCTATCTCTGCCAGCTTGCGGCGGGCGTTCGAGACCTTCGTTTTCTTGGGCGTAGTCCCTTCTGAGTTTCGAGGACTCGATCTTCCATTGTCCCTTCCTTCCCTATTTTCCTGAGGTCCTCTTTTGCTACCCCCAGTTTTCCCCGAACTTTCGCCTGTCGAAAGATCCTTCCCATCTTCCCTGGTTCCCTCTGGTTTTGCTGACTCTCGATCCTTTACTGATGCTTCGTTTCGTTCCGTACCCCTACCCGTGCCCTGACTTCCTTTGCTTCGCAGTTCCTCAGCCTATTCTTCCAATGCCATCCCTTTACCTACCCTGCACAAGGAAAAATTTTTTTTTGCGAAACGGCCGGTTGTTCATATTTTCCCTAGTTCCCGGGCCCTAAGGTCCCCTTATTCTTAGTTATTTTCATGTTTTCCCGTCTTATTTTTGTCGGGACGACTCACCTAACAATTTCCAACAGGGCGCCGTTCTGTCTTTCTTCTACCGGAAGGCTTGCTGCCGAGATTTAGCGTTTTGTCACTGTCGTGCCCCGGTCCCTTAGGGCGGTGTCTGAGGCTAGTGGCCCTCCCCTCGAGGGTAACCCTTTTGACTCCCTGACACCCGGATGCCCCAGCGTCTTTCAGCTCGAGTGGTCTTCCCAGTTCCCTCCTGCCACGATCTTAGGTGGGACGGAACTCCGACCACTACTCTCTTGCTGACGGCTAGCTTCTCATTCCGGTTTTCCACCTTTTACTTTTTCCCTGGTACTTTCCTTTCTCACGCCGGTCCCTCAGGCCTGTCTTGCTCATCCAGTTCTGCAAGATAGTTTTCTCCCATTTCTATTTCCCTGATAATTATTGGTTCATATTCCTCAAACGTCATGCGTGGTAACCCGAATATCAGGATTTCGATGAGTTCGAGTAGTTCACGGGTCTGGTTTCCCCAAAACGGCCCGTGCCTAACTGACACATCGTAAAACACCCCCGTCGTTTGCGGACGAAAGTAGTGGTTCCAGGCTAGAGTCGACTCCACCAGGCTTCTTGCCCTTGAGAGGCTGCCAAATACCAAGTCCACCATGAAGCGAGGCACTCGGCACCACAGTCCCGTTATTGGGGCCTTAAACTCTCGCCATCCTCCTACCTCCACCCGGGTTCTCAGCCCCACATTCCTTCTTCCTTGCACCTCCTGGCCTATCCGGTCCACTATCCTAGTAGCCCTTTGGAAGATTAGTAACAGCTCATGCCCCAGTGCCAATTCCGTTCCTAGCATGTGCCATCCGGCCTCCGGCAGGTATACGGTTCCTGTTACCTTTAGGTCGATATAAGGGTCGTCCGCTGGTCCCCTATCGAACCTCATCCCACTCCACAAGCATTCTACCATCATGAACGCCTGGTCCCTTCCCAAGGTCACGGCTCTCCATTCGGTGTCAATTCCTCGGACCATGTAGCTTGCCGGGAGCGATACCTCCCATCCGCCTTCACTTTTCGTGGGTGGCCGAGGGTGTGTGGGCCGTCGTGACATCCGTGCGCGTCTCATCGCCAGTGTTGATTAGCGGTCCCCTGCACAGTTTAAACAACAAGCGAATTTTGCTTATTCCATCCGTTCTTCGACCTCACCCGGGCAACTCCCTGGTCCTTAATTTCGATACTTTTTTCCCTCTCTATCCCTCCCTCTTTTTCTTGCCTCTCCTACCGGCCTGTCTCTACTTCCGTTGGCTCATACAAGCAGTACAGGTCATCTACGTAAGTCATTCCCCGACTTATCTCTCGTCGAACAACGCCCCATAGGACCTCATCGCTAACAACCGGAGTTCTTGGCTTGGTGGTAAACACAACACGCATGATCCGCAACACCTCATACCTCTGTTCTCCACTGAATGGCCCCATTTCTAGAAAGGCCCGGTAATACTCTTGGTGAATCATCGCGTCCTCAAACGCCAGGTTGGCGAGGTCAGCCACAACCCTCCTGACAAGCTCCACGCCGCCTAACCTCTCTAGCAAAAATGACGGCAATCTCATCTGGACGTTTTCACTGGGCAGCTCGAAGCTTCCGACCATGGCTACTCTAAGGTTGGCGGTCACATCATCAAGTTCCGGGTCTGCGAATTCGAACCCCGCCTGCCACACTAGTTGCCATGATCCCTCGAACATACTTAACGGATCTTCCCCTGATGCCAACGGGACTCCGAACGCCCGCCACCCGTCTTCCGACACATGCAACCGACCCTCCACACGCACATGTCCCCGTGAGTCTGGGTTCCATTCCCCGTTTTCATCTGCACGCCACTCAATTCTCGTCACTAAGTAAACCGTGTTTTCCATGAGCTCTACCCCAACCCAGTCCACCACCGCGTGCCAGCCCTCGCTCACGGCCGGCAGGCTAATTTCCACCCCGCTAGCCACATCCCTTGGCGGTTGAATGCCGAGAGGGCGATCCTCAAGGAACGTCCTTCTTAGTGTCATCACGCGCCTGTCCTTGGTCTCCTCACTCCGCGGTTTGCAACGAACCCACAATGGCTAGACATCCCATTCCCTTATTTTAGTATTTTTCCCATACTTGCCTGGCCCGTGGCTTCCCCTGCTCCTTACTCGAACCATGGTACCTCGAACAGCTTAAACACATCATCCACATAGCAGGGTGTCGCCGCTACCTCCCGGCGGATTATGGCATCCCTTATTTCCGGGGTTACCTCTAGTTGGTCGTACCTATCCATAGTCAAAATGATGAGGACCTGGCTCTATCGCCATGGAAAGGCCCGTACTTCAATGATGTTTTGTAAAACTCTTCTGACAGCCAGGTATAGTCTATGTGTATCCGTCCCATAGTGCCTGCCACTTCCGCAATATGGTCAAAACCCCCAAACCAGTCTATTATGAACTCGGGGACCCAGATCCTCTTTCGCAGGCAGGGTGGCCTGAATTCTTTCCATCCCCCCATTACGACCCTACTGCGGACTTCATCCCATCCCTTGTTGGCAAACCTTTCACCCGCCTTTCGAGTCCTTGTCTCCGCACCCTCCAGAAGCCACATCGGATTTTGTCCCGCCGCAAGGGTGGTGCAGAACAGATGCCACCCTTGTTCCGACAAGACTACCATCCCAACCGATTCTACCTTCCCTTCTGCAATATCTTCCCATCCATCTTCCTCCCTAATGGGGTTCCAAATACGTTCTATCCACAGGTATGATAGTTCTGGCGCGATCTCGAACCCGGCCCAGTCACACGTCGCTCCTCTCCACTCATATTCTGCTGGTAAGGGCATCTCTACCCCCCCTCCAATCCGCCTTGGTTCCCATCCTTTGAATGTGCAATCCCACAACTGGAGCTCTCGGGCCATCGTTCCCTACCTGCACATAGCCGACACCCCATTCCCCGGGTGAGTCCCCCCCCTTATCTCAGAAGTCCCAATCCTCCATTTCGTCTTCATCCTCATCATCGCTGAAATCCTCCTCCCCATCAAAGAACAGCCCTTGCAATCCTTCTAGGAAGGTCTCCCCTACTGCCACACTTCGATAGATTATCTGCCAATGCACTGAACTAGGTACAAAGACATCATCCGCGCTGAGAAGGTTCAATACCTCTGCTAATTCCTCCGCTTAGTTCCCTCCGAACGGCCCCATTTCCATCGACAACCTAAAGAAGTCATGTCGAGCACACTGGTACAGCCTCAAGTGTGTCATCGACTGGCATATTTGTTCTAAGCTGCCCCTGGGTTCCAAAGACTGCATCCACCAGGAACGGGGGTAGCACGCACCTCATCGTCCTAAGAGGCCGCCTCACATTTCCCCTATCCCCGAGCTCCACTCGCACTTCCATCTTATCCATTTCCATTTCCGCCCGCTGACACGCCGCCCATACCACTTCTCGTGCCGCTTGTCTAAACAGCGAATCCGGCGCCGTTCTGAGTACTAATTCTACTACCATTGCATTTTCCATCTCTTGGGATAAGTAGATCCACCCTCGAGCTTCCACCGTCCCCCGGAATTTTAAGTCCATGAAGCTCGACGACAGTCTCGTCAGGCTAACCTTTGCCCAGATTGTCTCTATCCAGAGGAACGCGTCCTTCTCGTCCTGCATCACAGTTTGGTAGGTTGGTTCCAGGTCTGTCCACGTTCCTTCTTCTGGGAGGACGACTGATACCCCTTCCTTTACGTCTATTGGCATTTCCGGACCACTAGAATAGATAGGAGATGAGAACCACCGCGCCATTCCGTTTTTTCGGTTCTGGTCCTGTTGTCATAAGAGAGCACCACACGGCCCCTCTTGGTCAGACTGTCTTTCTTTCTAGATGAGAATTGTTTCAGACCCCTCATCCGGGTCTCCCTAACCTTCCCTTCCCACTTCCCAGATGTCGCTGCCCCGTCGTACCCCCAGTCGGTCACCATCAACCGACATTCCTTCTTCTTGGTTCCATTTCCTCCCGACTCCTATCCATGCTTACCCACATCTTCTCTCACTCGTGCGGACTTAGGCAGGGGCGAGAATAGACTTAGAGGCGCAGTTCCCTTCCCAACATTCTCAAGCAAACTTTACATAGAGAGGCACAAAAAGAGAAAAAAAAATCAGGCAAACGTCACACACAGGTCGGTCATCTCCTCACCGGCCTTTTTCCCAAAAGTGGGCTCTCCACTGTTACTATCGGCAGAGTTTTATCCCGTACCTCAAGCACAGCTTAACCGTCGCGAGCGCGGTACCCAGACTCCAGTGGGGGGTCGCCCTCACCTTCTTGCCCAGAATACCCCATCCCGTATTGCCGCTTTTGCTCATCCATACCGACACCGAGGGTTACCCCGTGTGCCTAAATACGGGGACAAAAGTCAGCCGTCTGGGCATTCACTTCCATCGGTCCGATAAGGAACAGCCTTTCCCAAACCAAACTACGAGAAGCTACTAATCGTCCCGGAGGCTCCGTCTGCGCCCGCATGTAGTGGTACTCCCTCCGCCAGCCAACAGGCTAAGCCCCGCCTGAGGAGATTTCACACCCCGTCTGACAGATCATTGAGCAAAGCTCATCACCGCTCGAACGATACTGCTACTAATCAACCGACGTGACAAACTCCCGTCCTACAGCTCGGTGGCTTGACCCCCACACACGAACCCACGACAGCCTATGAAAAGGGAGCGACGTTTTGCAACTTACACCGGCCGGTGCAGACCCCTCCTTTCCTTCCGAAAGGCAGGACGCTCAATATCCCCATCATGCAAACACAAGTCCCAAGCGGGACACACATAGTACAAGTGCCTTTCCCTTGGTGCGCCCAGCACTTCCTACCCATAGCTCGCACCTTTTCTCTCAGGACAGTGTGTGCTACTCACCCCTAAGATCCATACATAGTGCCTGGTTCCTTTTCGTGAGCATCTTCAAAGGTGAGCTAGTTTTTCTTGGAGTCTAGCAACTCTTTTCATTCCCCTTGTCTTAGCTTGTGTGTCCGTTCATAGGGCAAGATTGTTCCTTCTCGATTACCCTTTGTGTTCATATGAGGTTCCTTCAAGCATTCAAGTGCAGTGCAAGGAGCCCGCTGGGCTCCAAAGAAGAGGAGAGAAAGCACCCATGTCGGTCGGATCGCTCCGCCGCGGGATTTTCATCGGAACCCGGACTAGCCCGGAATTCCAACCGCCTGCCAGGTAACCGGAGCCCTTCTTTCGCACGAAGAGAAAGGGTCGACCTGTGGCTTGCCCAAGACTTCCCTGGCCTGACGAACATCAGCCCGAGAGAAGGGGGACTGGAGTCACCTACGAAGGAGATGGCTGATCAAGTGTGCAAGCATGCATGTTATTCCTCCAGGCCTGGCCTTGCCATGCACCCAGCCCTCCTCAAATCTGATTCACTCAAGGGAACAGAGCATACGCAAGTCCTCATTCCTTATCTTCGGTTATGTACACGATCATGCGTCGGGCGCCCCCCTCGAGATCGTATGGGTCAGTTTAACCCATTACCCGGCACCTCCACCATTTTTGTAGGGGCCGTACCCTGAAGGACTTTCGAGCCTAAGTCGACCCCACTGCGGGTCCCATTTGGCTCGACCCGCCCATGCTCACGCTCAGGGCGCGGGTCGTTCGTCCCAGGGGCACCCCCACCTAGTGCTATGAGATGGATGGGGATGGGCCATTTGCGAGAGGGCTTTACATTGGGGGATGTAGCTCCGCTCTCGTGATAGATGGTAGCTCTTTGATCACTCGTGGTGTTTTCTCGGTTCATTTAACTGTGGCCAGGCAATTGCTCCTTCCAATACGTAGGCAGTCCAGGGAATTCATTGAGAGTTTGTCTTCTTTCGTGCGTAAGCCAAACGTCATCCATTGGGTCACACACCTTTTCACTAAGCAGGGCAATCCCTACGGCATCATCAGGGTGCGGTCGCGCCGTCCATGCCCCTAGCCCCTATATTTTTTTTTGCTTGACAATCATCCTATTCACATATCCATTGTCGCCCTTAGTCTTTTCAGGCTTCCACAATTGCACGCAGAGCATCAAGACACACATCCATCACACAGGCCATGTCCCTTTTTCCAAGCACACGATCATCAAGTCCCGCCCGCATCCATAGTTTATGCTAGGCCCATGTCCATCCCTCGTCGATTTTCCCACTCTTGCCCACGTTCCGCGGATCCAGTCCCGCTCAAACCATCCTAAGCTACTCACCTGCGCAAGACCACACGAAACAAAAACCAAATACAATCCCCATTGGGGTCAACACATCGCCCCTCCCGCAAGCCTAAGTTCTTTCCTCTTCCCATGACCCTCTTGGTTCTCTTCCCCTTCCCTCAAGCAAGCCATGCTTCCTTAGTCATGCAGTCTGGGAAAATGGTTAAGTCAACTGACCTTGTCACAAAACTTCACTTTTTTCCGCTTTCCCAGATGCTCACAAAAGTCCGGTGCTTTTTCCTTCTTGGTGGCACAAAGGACCGGCAGCCCTCCCCTTGCCCTCGCTTTCCACCAAGTGAGGATCAAGTTCTTTGTCGTTCGTTCCCTGGCAATGTAACGGGTGAGGGGAGAGGTTAGTCACATGCCACGGAGGGGAAGGGGTGATGGGAGAGTTCAGGGTCAAAAGGGCTTGAGGAAAAGGGAGAGAGGAGAGAGAGAGGGAGGGAGAGCGAGCGAGAGAGAGAGAGAGAGAGAGAGAGAGAGAGAGAGAGAGAGAGGGAGAGAGAGAGAGAGAGAGGAAACGAGGAGTTTCACATCCTAATCGACCTTGCTCCTTGACTTACCCTAATCGCTCCTTCCTAAGGTCCCGCGTTGTCGAGCGCATCGGTCCGACACCGCACGTGGCAGCGCGGGACCCTCTCGGCCGCGTCACGCAGGAGTTGGACCAACCTCGTCACGAACACACAATTGGAGCTTCCGCAAGCCGCTCC